TTGTTTACTCTATCCGAATGTCCAGTGCCAGTTTGTCAGGCGAAGAGAAACAGAAGGAAGAACTACGCTCTGCTATTTTTACCGGGATATCCACTGCTAACCTGAACTACGCTTCCCTACTGTCTTCGAAATATTCACTGCTAACCTCTGGATTGTATACTCAAAGACAACCGTCATCATGAACAACACCACTCTCCTCGAAACCTCTCGATCAGAGTCCTTACTGCCGGATACAGTTTATCATCATACCAAGGAAGAATGTGGCATGGAATGCTTAAATTATCACTGCCTATCTCTTCACACCTGTACGTGTATACACAGGGCGTAGTCTAAGTAATAAGTAGACTGGAAATCTCATTTCTGTCTTGTCGTAAATCTGATGAAGTTTGAAATGTTTCGGCATGAAGATCCTCACCTAGAATAAATAATGTAATGATAAAAAGTAACATTACTCCTGCATTGCCGTGAGTGCAGGACGATCTCCTCAAAGATAAAGAATGGACTGGAAGAAATAGACATGTGGTTCTACAGAAGGACGCTTGAGATCCTATGGACCTAATATGTTACCAATTACAAAGTTTTGGAGAAAATGGCAACAAAAAGGAAACTAAAACTTACAGGAAGAGACTGTTGAGGTTTCTAGGTCACATAATGAGGAAGGAGGGCTTGGAAAATATGATACTCACGGGACAGATACGGGGGCAAGGAAACAACGCATAGTGATCTTGATTAAATTAATGCCGGGTCAGGGTTTAGGAGATATCTCAGAAACATAAAGTTTATTAAGAGCTACAAGGGCCAAGAATTTGTGGGGAGCCATGATCGCCTACGTCCTGAGGGGATACTGTACATAAGAAAGAAGGTGAAATTGTTGTGTTTAAAAAGCAACGATGACGAAAATTAATATGACATAAGGTAGCAATAAGTTGAAGGAATTGTGATAAAAACAAACAATAATCTGAAGAATGGACAACAAAATGAACTGTCTCTCATAATTCATGAGGAATTATCATTATTACATGCTTTACATTATATCAATAAAATGCTCTGTATCAAATTTCCAAGAAAGTTAGTGGGTATAACAAAAGGAGACTGAAGAATGCCGGAGGCACAGATGTCGAAACGTTTTGAGCATAACAAACAAGAGACGTCTTCCTGGCACCAATAATAATAATAATAATAATAATGGCTAACAAAAATAGGAATTGGGATTTCTGTCGGGTTCAATGTTTCGTTTCTCGGCTCCTTTCTCAATATCAGAGTGACCAACGTCTTCTGCAGTCCTGCGTTTCCGGGATGCAGAACTGTGTTTGCGCCCTGAAGCTCTTCACAGTATAGTAACCAGGAATCCAGAGAATCCAAACCCTGCAGAAGCACCTCACACCCAGATCTGGAATAGTTTGACGATAAGAGTGGTCTCAATGACTCGACAATTGTTTGCCCTTTTCCCATGTATACACAGTTACCTTTTCCCAACCGAATCCGGTGCATAATTACAGGATCGGTATGTAATACCTGTTCGCTCTGTTTAAGATCAAAGTCTCGTTCCACAGGTAATGTGGCAGTGGTGCAAAAGTGGCTTCAATCGTTTGGCATAAAATGTCATTCAATGAAGATATCTATAAGCCAGCGTATCGATAGAAAAAGTGCATCAATTTTGATTATCTATACAGAGAAAATATGATCTTAATGCTAGTAACATAGACAGTTTTTTTTTTTTTTTGGCTTATTTAACCCTTTCCCTGTCCAGGACAATTTCCTGTGTAATATCCAAACGTTCATGATTGTTCTCAGATATATAACTATTGCAAGGCAACTCAGCTTATTTGGCAAATAGAATTTGCTGATATATAATGTTTCACATAATAAAAATCTTTGCATCACGTGATGTACAGAACGTACAAATTATATGTTATTTACACTACGCTCTTTGCATCACTTGAGAAACAAAGGTTATAATCATTTCAATAAAGTGGAAATATACATGCATTTCATTTGAGAGCTTAGATTATCACTCATGCGCCCTGTGGTCATATCTGCACAAAATATTAGACTAGGCCTTTCTTCGGACGTCTTACTCAATAGTAGACTATTTTCTTAAGCGTCCTTAGTTTTAACAATCATGGTTCGTGTGCACCCCATATGATGCAAGGACATGGAAACCACATCATATATGATGCACAGGACAGGCAAAGCGTTAATAATAACTTAACACATATTGCATGAATAAATATTTGTATATATAGAATCTTTCTGCTATCCCTCTAGTGATTCCTGGCAAAATCCAAAGTAAAACCTGAAATGTTATCGGTCTTGACCTGTTGTTAAATAATAGTTTCAGACTATTATTTTTTAGTGGCAGTGTATTTTGGCTAACCTTTGAGGTCAGATGGTAGACAAAATAGGAAAGTCGGTTTTTATTGGCTGAAAGTGAAAATGAGTTAAAGATTAAGGGTTTTGTGGGAGTTGCTGTTTTGACATCAAGCTAGCTAGACGTGTTAGATTGCGTTTGTGCATCCTTCCCTCAAAGAGGAAGGGTCTTTCGAGAGTTGGTTCTTACACGTCAAAGGAAATGGACGTGTGAGATTTTGTGTTTGAAAGCGGCTCTCTAATAGGGGATGCAGTAAACGCTACTTGATAGAATGCACGTCGGCGGCACTAGTAAAATAAGTTAAAAGTTTTCTCTGTTGATGCTTTTCGTCTCTGAAACCAAAGAACATTTCGCAACCCCACCCACGAGAAAAAGAGGACTGAACTAAAAGCGACCCACAATCACCGGCCAGACGAGATGAGACCAACCAACACCCACCCACCAATGAATGGTATACAACACTGCTAAATAGGTTTCAATCACTTTTCAACCGCCGTAACATAGCTTCCATGTGTATTTTCTATAAATATATCAATGGTAATTTTTTCCGATAAGCTCTGCTCTTTGCTGCCACAACCTCCCGAATTAAGGCGTAGTACTAGATTGACAGCTTGATCTCATCATTTTTCCTGTTGAAATTACTAAGTATAACCTTAAGTTCTATTCTAATTGTTATGGGATCTTACCCAAATAATAATAATGGACTATTCCATACTTAATAAATACCGCGCCTCAGGAGTAGGCAAAGTCAGTCAGTCGTTCACCTCCTGAGCGACTGTTCGGTTAAACTCTCTTCCTACGGGCGGGAGGAACCCGAAGGAGGCTACGCCGAAGGGCGGGTCTCCTTCGGGGAGGTTAAACTCGGCCCAGAACCCGTTTATGCGGGTTCAAATACGCCGGGAATGGCGGAATGCCCACGTTAAAAAGGCCTTGTCCTTCGTGGGGGTGACTGAATATAGTCAGTCGTTCACCTCCTGAGCGACTGTTCGGTTAGCTCTCTTCCTACGGGCAGGAGGAACCCGTTTACGCCGAAGGGGGAGTCTCCTTCAAATGGGCCCAGAACCCGTTTATACGGGCCGGGCCTATTTTTTGGCCGAGCCCTAATGGCTCGGGAATTCCCCGTTAAAAAGGCCTTGTGCCACATGACACCCTCGTGGGGGGGTGACTGAATATAGTCAGTCGTTCACTTCTGAACCGACTGTTCGGTTGAACTCTTTGCCTTCGGGCGGAGAGGAATCGAAACGAGGCTACGCCGATGTGCGGGATCTCGTTAGAGGAGGTAAACCGGCACTGAGCCTGTCTATACGGGTTCAATGGACATATTTTTGGGCCGAGCCCACGGGCTCGCAGAATCCACAATAAATAACCGACCTTGTCTCACATGATGCCCCGGGAAGGGGGGGTTGTGACTGAATATCCTGTCAGTCATTCACTTCTGAACCGACTGTCCGGTTGAACTCTCTGCCTTCGGGCGGGGAGGAACCCGAGCGAGTCTACGGCGAGGGGCAGAGTCTCGTTCCTTCGGGGAGGTAAACCGGCCCTGAGCCCGTTTATACGGGTTCAATGGGCATATTTTTAGGCCGAGCCCAAGGGCTCGGAGAACCCACAATAAATAACCGACCTTGTGTCACATGATGCCCCAGTGAGGGGGGGGTGACTGAATATCCAGTCAGTGGTTCAAGTGAGTCAGTAGTTCAAGTCGGGTCAAGAGTCGAGTCAGAGGCAGTCCGAAACAGAGTCGTGTTCAGACAATTATTACAAGATATTGGAATAGTGATACTGGTCGAGACTACATTGTTCTCTCTACTAAACCTGATTGTTCATACTAATACTTCTACTTCTCTGTATATATTCCTGTTTGTAATATATCTGTGTTATTCCATACCTGTGTTCGAGTTCTTCTTTATTGGTTCTAACATAGAATATCACCATGGTACAAGGAACCCGGACCATAACACTAATAGTTTCTTCTCTCGTAGTTCACGCAATGTTTTTATACTCATGCTTTCGTGTCAACTACGATCTTCAAAAACTTTAAATGCAACATCAATCGTCATCATCTGCCTCCCTAAATCTTTTTTCCTCTTTTATCCTAGTAACGACTTCTCAGTTTCCTTCACGCTTAGTAAACCCATGCGTCGTATTGTCTTTATCAACTTGCTTGCGGTGAAATGAAAAAAAAGCTGATCATTTTTCGAACATCCCTCGTATTATGTTAACTAAGAAAGAAGCCCCAAGCCATATAGCCACCGGCTGCCATAAAAAAAAACGATGCAGATTGCCGTTGCTATTGAAACGAATATCTCAATTATCGAGGAATTTATATTCTACCGAGATAGTCTCTGCGTAATGGTTCGGGGATAAAAAGGAAAAAACTAACAACGCAAAGCAGAACTGTGATGGACAAGAGATAAATAAAGTATAAGGAATTGAAATGAGAACAAAAAGCGGGAGGTAAAGTCTACAGATATAGGACGTCGTAGAAGAACGTAAAGACAAATATTTCGAATGTTGAATGGAACTGGAAAGAATTCTGAATTCCTGCAGAATGGGAGGAATGAGAATAAGAAAAGGAATACTTCTCTATTGAAAATGAAGAATAGGAAGGCTGCGTGTAAAAAGAATACGATTAACGATAAATCGAATGAGATGCGGAAAGAGAAAGCATTCGGAAAGAAGGCGGTTTTGCTGAATATAAAGAACGGGAATGAGAATGGAATAATAATAATAGAAATATGAATATGCTCATTGAGAAAATTAAGAACAGGGACATCAAGCCAAATGATGGAAGCAAATTGAATTGATGTGTTGAACGAGAAAAGATTTCAAGAATAAGAATACAAACGGAATAAAAGAAGGAAAAATGGTGATAGGTTTGTGCACAAATGGAATAAGAAAACGTCTCATTATTGAAAGGATGAATTGAGGAAAGCGAAATATAGCTTAGAAATACAGCAGATGATATGGATTATATAGATTAAGAACACGAATGGTAAATAAAGATTAAGAAAGATTATCTTTTTCATTTACAAAAAGAAAAAAAAGAATGACAAACGTAGATAGAAAAAAGAGGAAAGAGAAAGAACTTCGAAATGCAGCAGATGATGTGGATTATATAGATTAAGAACACTAATGTTAAATATAGATTAAGAAGGATTATCTATTTATTTACAAAAAGAAACAAACCATATAATAATTATCAATGTATATTCATTTATATATTTCGTATCACACCTGGAGGTAGAAGGGAGATGAATCAACTTAAGCTGGTATATTTATGAATTCTTGCTTCACTTAGGCGTTTTAATAATCTATATTTACAGGTTGTATAAATTGTATAATTTTGTATAATGTTGTATAAATTACGCAAAAATGAAAATAAACACTAACATTTCATTTTAACAGATATATTTACAGAAATTACACAAAAAATATCTTGAAATACGAAAGAGTCAATTTATTCAATAAAATCGCCATTGGTTTCAATCATGACCTCCAGACGACCTTAGAATTTCTTTCAACTCTTGTGGAAGAGTCTCCTTGTTTAATTTCATGAAAATTGCCATAATCCTTGTCTTCAGTTCATCTTTGACGTTACAAGGATTTTTGTTGGTCTATCGCAGAACTGCGCCCCACACATAGTAATCAAATGGGTTGAAGTCTGGGGAGTTAGGTGGCCAGATGTGAGGGCTGATGTGGATGAAGAAATTGTCTGACATCTATGACTGCGTTCACCTACTTGTCTGGCAAGATGCAGAGTCCTATTGCCAGACATAAGATCTTTTAGCACCCTCTTGAAACAAGGCATCCTTACTTCCTCAAGGCATTTGATGTAGGCCTCCGTGTTGAGTCTGATGCCCTCACCAAGAAATTTGGGAATTCTTTTCTTATCAGAAGGATTAGAGTAAGTTGTCCGGGCTGTTGTACATTCGTAATCACCATTAGACTCACGCAGCTCTTTACGAATCTTCTTCCGCACCGTCCTCAGAGTGACACTCAAACACTGTTAAATATTCGTATTCGAGCTTCAGGCGCAAATGCCAAACAGTACAGCATGCCGTTTCTAAATTTCTGACCGGGTGTATTGTGTCATGGTGTTCTTTTTTTCTCACAGACGGTGCCTAACTGTCCCTATTATAATATGCAGTCAACAGAATAAATAAAATAACGTGCCGGCGCGAAACTATACATATAAAATTACGACAATTTACCCATTGCACCCTCTGTGTGTGTGTGTGTGTGTGTGTGTGTGTGTGTGTGTGTGTGTGTGTGTGTGTGTGTGTGTGTGTGTGTGTGCCTGTGCCTTTCTGGCGGAGTGAATTACGTCACGGTGCTCTTTTTCTCACAGACTGTGTCAAACTGACCCCAATATATTGGGCAGTCAAAAAATCAAAAAACAACAACGCCTATGGGCGAAATTAAAAATATAGAATGCCGAAAATTTACCCATCGAACCCTGTATATAAAATATTTATCTACATTTAGACCAAATTACACCCTGAAACGTTTAATCAGTTCTTTTCTCATACGTTTCTAGGATTGTAGTCTTATTTGTTCAAGTTTTTCATGCGAAACATTCAGATACTTTTGCCTATTAATTGATCGTCTAGCTTCAATTTTTATTTCGCAATAGACTTTGTCGTCGTTGTCTGTATCATTCTGTTTTCAATATTTTTCTTTCGAAAGATATTTCCATTTCACTTTTATATAAAACACATAAAATTTTTAACATGAAAAGATATTCAGAAAAGGTGATTTATATAATACTAGGAGTAATCAATGAATTATAGATGCCTTTGCATTTATTTTCAAGTCACAATTAATTTCAAACAAATATAACAGTGATTTTTATTATTTATTATTCCTATTAATTAAATACGTTTTTACTTTTGAACTGGTAACTTAGATTCAATACGATCTGGCAATATAAATGTAAAATTAAATTTAAATAATTCCTTATGTTTTACATTGTTTTGTGCATTTAAGAAAATGTTGTCTAGTGAACATCATAAAGAGGAAAAATCCCTTGAAGAAAGTAGATTAGCACAACGGTGAAAACGAAGGCGGCGAATACGCCTATCTTAGAATCAGATGCGGGTACGGCAGGAAGTTGATAGATAAACATATTCACCGGCATCTCAGGAACGCCATGAGGCAATAATAGCACAAAATGAAAGGCTTAAAAGTGACAAAGAGACAGTAGAAGTGGGAAACAGGAAGAAAGCAAACCTGATAGAGAGAAAGAAGATAAAATGAAACTCAAGAAGAGAAAATATAACAATGCGAATGGTAGAACGTCTCTCTTCAGAAACCAGATGAGCAACACAATAGAAAGAGGGCTGAGAATACTGACGCAATGAGAAATCCATCAAATACACAAGATGGAGTTCGTAGAGTAAATCAGCAACATAACTATAGTGGATCCAAAATAAACCGCCATTTTTTTTTCTGGCAAGCGTACATTGGTAATAATAATGATAGACGTCGATAGAAGAAATTGAATTAAAGAATGAAAAAGAAATTGAGCAGATGATGCGGATTATATACAATAAGAACACGAATGTTAAATACAGATTAAGAAGGATTATCTCTTTGTTTACAAAGAGAAAGAATTATAGACGTCGATAGAAAGAATGAATTTAGGAACGAGAAACAGTTTCAACATACAAGATGATATATACGAACACGAATTGAATATAAAGTTTAAGAATGATAACTTTATAGTTTTCTTTTCTTTTTTTTTTACTATTGTTTACCCAATACAAATTCCGGGTACCTACCAAGGTGGAGAATTACTGAACAGGGTTGGTGAAGGCTTGCATCGATAAGTGAGACCGTATCAGGATATGTAGGATAGATAACCATTGATATGCGCATAACCCCGTCACTAGTCTCCGGCATCATTTCCAAACTAGAATCCCAGCCGTCTTCCTAAAGAAATGTGCTCTTAACATGACTCCATTTTTTTCTAAACTCTACAATAATTACCGCGCTGCTTCCTGCCTTACAGTTCGTTGGAAGTACTCCTCTACGGTTTCTGTATTTTAAGAACTCTCTGACCACTTAAATTATTGCTCTGTTAGTCTCTCAAATCTTTTCGGCAAAGTATTCGTGGATCTAATGCTGAAGTGTTTAAGCGTGTTATTTCCCAAGACCTTCTCAAGGAGAAACAATATGGTTTCCGTTTCACTAGGTCTACCGCTGATATGTGAACGGCTTTCGCTGAATTTGTATTTCAAACTCGGGCTGTGGCTCTAGATATCTTGAAGGCATTCGAAAAGGTTTGGCATGCTGGCCTTCTACGTAAGCTCCAGGGCTACGGTGTGCTTCTAGGAAAGTTGGTACCTTGTGTCGTGCTAGACAATTCTTCCGCTAGAATCTATCTTACATATTTATAAGCCACCATTTGTCCATGTATATAATATTGCTGTCATATCTGGTCTCGTGCTTCTGATATGTATTTCGACATTCTGCAATGTGATTGGACCTGGACTCTTGACTTTATTCGCTTTACCACTGACATAATGTAACTACCCATGGTAATTGCTCTGATAACGTTTCTCTCCTTAATAATGTTTTCTCTTTCACATATTCTCTCACACTCAGTAACACTCTTGCCTCTCAGTGGCTTTATTGTTGCGCCGTGTATATATGTTGCAGAATTTATTTTAATTTCATGTCCGTGTTCATTAATTTTATTTCAACTGTTAACAATGTACACGTATTCTCGCAATATGTTTTATTATTTACATTTAAATAATTTTTCATTAATTTATTTTTCAGTTACTTTTTACTTACATCTTTTTCAATATACTTTTTTCACATTTTTCATTTATTTTTTAGATTTTTTCTCATTTACCTTATTTTACTTTTTTATTTCCTTTTTTTTACATTTTTACATGTTTTATTTGCTTTTTGTACATGTTTTCATTTACTTTTTTTACATTTTTCATTTATTTAATTTTGCATTTTTTAATTTATTTTATTTTAAAAGTTTTTCATATAATTTGTTTTACATTTTTCATTTACTTTAACTTTTTTACTTTATTTTACATTTTTCTTTTGCAATTTTACATTTTTTTCATTTACTTTATTTTAATTTTTTTTCATTCATTTTTTTTACCTTTTCTATTTACTGTTAATGATTATGTACAGGTCGGTAAAATGGAAACAAAAAAACATTTTTAATTTATTCATTTGTTTGTATTTAAACCGAGACTTGCTGTTCATATGAAAAATGTTTACTCTGGAAAAGTGGTTCCAATATTCTGTCACACCCAGCAACACGCCCGCGGTCTTCGTGGTTATTTTGGGTTGTAAAAGAAACGCTATTCCACAACTTCTAAAAAATACTGTTCAACAGTTAGATAATAAATTTTCACTGTATTTTTGGTGTATCATGCGACTTTTCATGTACTAATTTTTGAAGCTAGCTTTAAGGGGGTCGCATCATACACGAGATATAAAATTAGCGTATATACTGGTGGCCCTGGCTATGCCGTTGATTTACTATTGTCAAATTACCTTCAAAATTAGGTCTTTAAATGTCGTATGATATGCGAATATATACGGTAACTTTCTCTGTGTATCTCTAATTCGAATTATTCATCTATGAATTTTACTTTCTGAGAGACTATCAATTCATGACGTTTATTTTATGAAAACCACAACATCCGGCTTCTTATGAATAAAATGATCAAAAAGGCCTGTCTGGTTTTCTATAATGAGGATTTTTTATAACTATGAAAATTATTTGAACCTAATTACTGTAGAACTGAACATAAAGTGGGGGAGGTTGAAAAGATCCCGGTTCTTAGTAAGGGATCCCAAATAATTGGCTTACGGTCAGGTCACGTAGAGGGAACATCGAGCCAGGGCAATACTTAGTTGAGTCACCGCTTGGGAATACCAGCTGTTTAGATGTGCGGTTGATGTGATTGGTGGATAATGGCGCGGATTTGTCAATCGGAGAACCAGGTTCGAATACCAGTTGCTTTCGTAATATCACTTACGAGCAAATAACCATAGGATCTCTTCTCCTCCCTGCTATGGGTTAATTAGTAGGTCTTATATCCATAAATTAGTATTATCTCCCAAAAAAGTGTTTCAGTCTATAAAAATATTGTCTGGCTTAAAATGATCATGAAAAGGTCAGAAGTGGAACATGGAGATCCTAGTTTCAATTCCAATCGGTTTCGTTATATTGACTTACCCGTTAAATACCTTTGACAAAGGTATGAATCAAGCCGTTTCCCCCTAGCTATGGGTAAATTAGACTTATAGCAATAAACCAATAATATCTACCCCCGCAAAAAAAAACAACAACTTTGAGCTTGTTCAGTACCTAGACACCGTAACGGATTGGGGATACCAAGTGTTGTAATCCTGGATGTGCGGGTGGTGTAATGGATAATGGTTCGGAGTAGTTAATCAGAGGGTCGTGTTTCAATTCTTGATGATTTCGATATATTCACTTACCTGCAAATATCTCTGGGAAAGGTACGAATCTACCTCTTTTCCCGCTAGCTATTTGTAAATTAGTAAGCTTTGTATCAGTAAATCATTGTTATATTAAAAACAAAAAAAATTCCAACTATTTAAAAATATTATTCTGGCTTTCATTAACCAGAAATGGGTTGATAATCCGTAAAAAAACTAATCAATTTATTTTAGCTACATTGTTCCGTTTATTGTTGATTTTTATCACAACATATTTCGCCTTATTGTTACGATTTATTTAAACATTGCTCACGTTTTTTTTTTTCTGAACTTATTCCCAAGCGATTTTAATTGGCATCTTCTTCGTCCGTACGTCGAGGCGCGTATTAAGCATTCATTATCTACTTCCCTGTGTAAGAAAATTGATTTTCATTTTATTTTTGTTTATTATTAATTGCTTCTCATCCCAGCTTCATATGTCGTTTTATTAAATTTCTCTGGTCTTTATTTAATGCTGTTTCCTGTGTCCTCTGTATATATATTTTTTTTTTCCTGAATTTATTTCCATTTCATTTCCGTGGACTTTAATCTTATTTCCTCTCTTAACAATGTACACGTATTCTTGCAATTCGGTTTTGTTTTTTTGTTTTGTTTTTCTTCATTTATTTTTATCAATTTCTCAGGGCATAAATATTGAAAAAAAAAGCATTTCTACAGATCGCGATAGCTATTAGGGAGATATGATTAAATATACTTTAATGTTTTTAAAAAAATATTCAGTATTATTATTGTTTACGTAATAAGCATTATTTCATGACGTTACCATGAAGTGATAAAGCTGACAATGGATATAACAGCAACGTAATTATTGTTCTCACTCCGTATTTCGAAAGTGAAACACATAGTTATTGATATTTTATTATTTTATTTGGTGCTGACAATTGTGACAATGGATATAACAGCGACTATATTATTGATCTTTCTGCTTATTCCGAAAGCGATACACGCAGCAGCCTAAATTTGTATTTTCACCAGCTTATGCCATTGCTGACAATTGATATAACAGTGACATAATTATTGTTCTCTCTCCTTATTTCCCAAGAAAGACACATAGCTATTTATACTTTCATATTTTATTAGGTTATATCATTGATATCAATAGATATAACAGAGTTTATATCATTGTTCTTGTCCCTTCTTTACGAAAGTCAAACACATCGCTACTTAAATTTGTTTCTTTAACGAATTTATGTCAAATGCTCTTAATAGATATAACAGCGACTATATTATTGTCTTATTGTCTTTGCTTCTTATTTCCCAAGAAAGACACATAGAATTAATGTTTTATTATGGTTATATCATTGGTGACAATCGATGTAACTGTCTATATTATTGTCCTTGTCCGTTATTTCGAAAGTGAAACTTAAATTTGTTTCTTTTACTAATTTATGACATTGCTTCAACATGATCTGTTCGTAATCCAGTTTTCTGTTCTGAAAAGTTTGTAGTCTTTCTATGAAAGATTGATTCTAGTGCTGTCAATAACTTGCATGCATTAATTTTAACTCTTCTTATTAATAATTACTTTGAACCAGAATGTATGATCATTTACTCGATGGATTTGATCAAAAAATCCATGAAGTTACCGAATGCAACAGACACCACTTCAGTCTAAATGAACATGTGAGAACACACACTGGAGAAAAACCACTCGATTGTGAGGTTTGTGGTTCAAAATTCTCACACCGTTTGAGAAATCACATGAGAACACACACTGGGGAAAAACCATTCATCTGTAAAATATGCAACTCAAAATTCCCTCGAATTTCAAATTTAAAATACCATCTGCAAACGCATAATGAAAAGAAATCATTTATTTGCGAAGTCTGTGGCTCAAAATATGCAGGTCATTTTTTCGGGACACCCTGTACCTTCTTTTATAGATTTTATTTTATACGCGAGAGTAGATTGTTTTCATTTCATTATATTTTAGATTGTCATTATTTGGAAGCTCCTATTGTTTTTATTTTAGCATGATTTTCACTACTATGAACAGCAATTGAACTCAAAGACATCAAGAAACTAAACTGACATAATCCACGCTTCTGTTTGTTATGCAGTATTTGATTCAAAATTCCCCGAAGACGACTGGAAGATTCAATAGGCAAAATGGTGTGATCATAACAATCAAGATGAAGATATTCTTCTTCCATGGGATGCATCCCTTCAGGGCGTAGGCGAGAAAGGGCCCTCCACAATTTTCTACCCAGTATAAGTGTTTGTAACATTTGTCTATTTGCCGTACCCCCCACCTTCATTTCGCCATCGATTCACATAACCTTATTCGGTAGGTGGCTCGCTGTCCCATTTTTACAGTGATATTTAACCTGTACAACAAGGCCAGGGAGCCACTCGAAGTAGAAGGTAACTGAGTAAGAGGCACAGTTTATGCCGATAATTGGGGAAGATAATGGTTAATCATAGATTGGAACAGGTTGTGATAAAGAAAAGTCTGTTCGAGTGGAACTTTCATCTCACAAAGGGAATGATGGTGGTTCGAATATAACGTGTGTATCATGGCGGATCTTATGTGTGAAGGTGAGAACTGGTGGAACGAAAGAGTGTAGTCCATCTGAGCAGTTTCCATGACAAGAGCAGTCAGAGACTTGCAACATTTCGTCTATGATTAAAGGGTTCTAGGGTGGAAAATAATTTGTCACCCACAAGGACGCATTTTGTCTTCGAAATGTTTTGTGAGTACCAAAACTCTTTCCTCGTGAAGTGTCCAAGAAATATCATCTACCTCTTTCTGATCCTGAGTATAAGTGTCATAGTTGTACAAGTTTGAACAAGATCGATGGATCATAATAGCAGTTCATTTATCATTATCTTTTAGACTTACGACCACTTCACGATGAAGCACCAGTTCCTATACATTCACCGAAGTTAAGCAAAGTCGACCCTGATCAGTACCTAGTTGGATGTCCGCTTGGGAATACCGTGTGCTGTAAGCGTAGATTTTAGGGTGATGTAATGGATAATGGCTCGGAATTATTAATCAGAAAACCGTGTTCAAATTTCAGTTGGGTTCGTTATATTCACTTACGTGCAATTACCCTTGGGAAAGGTATCAATCCAGCTTTTATCTCCCCCGCTATGGGTTAATTAGTAAGGCTTGTATCAATAAAATCATCATCTTCAAGGAAAATTCTTATAATCTAAGAAATATCTTCAGGTTTTAGATAAATTGCAATGGCTTGATAAGCAATAAGGAACGAATCAATCAATCAAATCATCATATTTTAGTTGAATATAGAGTTTTCATTTTAGTGAATATAGAGTATTATCGTTTCACTATTCAAGTTAGGGAAAATTACGCTACATTATTCGTTCTTGTGAAACTGATATTTTTGGATTTGTTTTTTTCCCCTCGTATGATTTTCACTACAAGGATCAGAGACTGAACTTACGAATTGCCAAGTAACTAAACTGACTCAAACAATGCTTTTTATACATTATGCAGTTGCTGCAAGGATTCGATCAAATATTACACAATGCGACCAGTACCTGAATAATACCGGAAGTTAGATCGGACGAAACATCATGATGATAACAACTAAGATGTGGATACTCGTTCAAATGATTCCAATATCAGAAGTGATGTCTTCCATAATCTTCTTGTGAGTAGAATTCGGTAGAACTGAAATAGCTACGCTGTTTCTAAGTATATCTTTCCTGTTTTCGTATTCCTTCGTTTTTGTCTTCATTTTCTTCTGTTTTCGTTCTCTGTCATTTTTTTCTCACATTTCACTGCGCAGAGAAAAATAAAACAAACTCACTGAAACGTAAAGATAAAGCAAAACAAAATAAAAACACCCGGGTAGAATTTTACCCCGACTGATCGATGAGCAAAATCGTTTATGCATATTTATGAATCAAAAGTTTAAATAGCAAAATAAGTTACAGACATTTTTTTTCTTTCCGTCAAAAATATCGCCAGCGGCCGACACGTGAAATGAAAGGCATCTTTGGCTCTTATCCAAGGGGAAATAACTCTACTTTTACTTAGGATTTGTGCCAATATTCCGTCACATTCCATCAGTTTCTTCTTTATTATACCGATTCTTGTTTGTATTATTCTCTGTTTTTCGTACCCTAAAGTATCGGTTGAACAGCGAAGACACCACCGCAAACATCTTCGGTCCTGCGAGGCGCATTCAGGAAGAAAGGCTACGTCAAAACAAAAACCTCAATTACGAGTGCTAGTAATAAATTGCAGTGTTTATGGACTCGGCTGAGTTTCAGTCCGATTTCTTAATATTGCTGCGATCGTATGAACGAAAAGATAAATTGTTTTGCGCAGAATTGCGTGAAAATTCCAAAGGATAGTGTTTCATCGTTTGGGAACATTCTCATAATAATTCAATATAACTGACAATGGATATAACAGCGACATAATTATTGTTGTTGCTCCGTATTTTGCAAGTGAAACACATAGTTATTAATATCTTATTATTTCATTAGGTTAAGACATTTGTGACAATGAATATGACAGCGACTTAATTATTGCTTTTGTTCCCTATTCCGAAAGGGAAACACAGAACTACTTAAATTTGTTTTTTTTTTTTTTTTTTCTTTTAAGCATTTCACCCCAAGCAAGGCGGGAAGCCACTAGGACGCAAGGGGTTACAGAAAATTTATAGCAAGAGCAGATAGGAGTGATAGCAGAAAGAATGAGGGTAGTGGATAGATTAAGGCAACTGGAGATGTCGACTGACATTACACTTGAATAGCTGGATATTATAGCACACAGGGAAACAGGAGAAGGGAAGGGAGTTCCACAGGCGAGAGGTGCGAGACATGAAGTTATTAGAGTAGAAGAGACGGCTACATTTAGGAGTTTCGACAGTGAAGGGGTGAGAGCGGGATGCCAGCCTCGTAGGGCGCTGGAACTCATGACGTCTGGGAACCAGCGAATGCATCTCCTCGGAGCAATTGCCATGAAAGTATTTGTAGAACAGACAGAGGGAGGCGACGGCGCGTCTGTGAGAAAGTGACTGTAGACGAGACGCCAGGGCAGGGCCATTTACCAACTTATGTCATTGATGACAATGGATATAACAGTGACTGAATTATCGTTCTCTCACCTTATTTCTCAAGAGAGATACACGTAGCTATTAATATTTTATTATGTTTCGTCATTGGTCACAATAGATATAACAGTGACTTTATTATTGTACATGCTTCCGTATTTTGAAAGGGAAACACAGCGATACTTATTTTTGTGTATTTTACTATCATATGTTATTGCTGTAAAGTTTTGTTGTGGCCTTATTAGGGCTCGAAATAAAGACTCAAAGAGAGGAATTGAGTTAAACAAATCTGTTAACAGAAACAGTAATACAAACATATACAAACAAGAGTGTTGCAGCAAAAGGCAATACCTGCTCCTATTTATAGCTGGGTAAGTCCATCCGTGCGTGGGTAAATTACCATAACAAGTTCATAGTCTGTCTATGAAGGATTGATGCCTGTGCTGTGAAATCTTGCATGCATTAATTTCAACTTTTCTTATTTTTAAGTACATTGAACCAGAATGTATGGCCATTTACCACAGGGATTCGATTAAAAAATTCATGATGTTACCATGATCTCATGAAGCTGACAATGGAGGTAACAGCGACTAATTTATTGTTCTCGCTCTCTATATTGAAAGTGAAACACATAGTAATTAATATTTTATTATTTTATTAGGGGCTGTCATTGGTGACAAGGGATATAACAGCGACTATATTATTGTTCATGCTCCCTATTCCGAAAATGAAACACATAGCTAATCTGTTTCTTTACCAACTTATGCCATTGCCAACGATGGATATAACATCTAAAAATGAATACGTCTAATTTCGACTTCATCCCTGCCGCGCGCCAATGCCTTAGTGGTAGAATCTCCGACTGATACAAAATCAGTCGGGTTTCGATCCTGGCTTGAAGCAAGCTTCACAACTCAGTGTGGCTAGACATCCAATTGTCGGATCAGCAATCAGATGTCTAGCCACACTAATGAGCTGTGAAACATTGAAACCGTCTGTCTGTGGATAACAGTATATATATATATATATATATATATATATATATATATATATATACAGTGTAACCCGGATATAAGAGAGTTGTCGGGACCGGAGAAGAAGTCTCTTATATCCGGGTTTCTCTTATATCCGGGTTTGGTCTATTTTATATACATTAACACAGGCTCTAATTTGGAATAAAACCAGATAAAATCTCTCTTATATCCGGGTTTCTCTTATATCCGGGTCTCTTATATCCGGGTCTCTTATATCCGGGTTACACTGTATATATAAATTGAACATTGAAGTCAATAATCAGAAGCAACAGGCTGTTTCGTGCTAGACCCAATCGTCAGGCCGCGTATTTCTTCATATATATATATATATATATATTTTATATGTATATATATATATATATATATATATATATATATATATATATATATATATATATATATATATATATATTTATGTATGTAGTAGAAAAACTAATGTCAAGAAATGTTTATTTCAGCAAACTGATCCATTTCAGCGGCAAACCGAATTTGCACCAGTTGAAGAGAGTGGCGTTAAACGTGATGGCTGACTGAAACTAGCCAAGCTGAAGAAGATGCTTACGTGGATGCATCGCCATTGATGTTTGTTTAGACATGTAGAAATCCATTTTCTGTCAAGACCGCCTAAGGAATTTGAATTTGGCTGCTAGCAAATTACGTACTGAGAAACAAAATCGAGTCTTATGGGAAAGATAAGAGAACGAAATACACAGCTATCGTCTCTTTTTAAACAGCGTCATCTTCAATAATAGACATCATGTCCTCTTAACAAGTTTTTTTTTTTTTTTCTTTTTTTAAATATTAATTCACTTCCCGACTCAAACATGAACTCACAACAAACTTTTTTTTTTTTTTTTTTTTTTTTTTCTTTTGCCTCTTGACATTTTCATATAACTCTTTCTGGGAACAAACGCCATTTATTTTGTATGATTCTTTTTTTGTTGTTCCGTGGCTATTTAAAGAATTCTTTCAGTTGCTATTCTTCGAGAGCAACCACGCAGGCGAATGTGTGATTCTTCATTGGTCAGCTTGTATTTTTAAACCTTTTCGATCGGTCACTGGCTGGTGCTGTCTTCTTTTGTAGTTGACTACGTGGATGCATTATATTTGAATAAGAAAGAAATGAACCAACGAAAGAAGCAGAAGAAAAATAAAGAGGTTGGGTTCTCTGTTTGTCTTATTAATGGCGCCTCGCTAAGCACAGGAGGACGAGGAGGAGGAGGAATAATAATAATAATAATAATAATAATAATAATAATAATAATGAGGAGGAGGAGGAGGTTAAGAGAAAACTATAATAAAGAAACTGAAGAGGAAAATTGAAAGGCGATGATGGGCAGAAGAGGAGATAGATAGATAGATAGATAGATAGATAGATAATGAATAGACTGTGATAGACAGATAACGAAGACATAGATTTTTCCCTATCACTACAATCTTAATCTGCTCTCTTCCTCTGCTCTCCTTAAAAATTACATCTTAACGTAACTCTCTTACTTGAGTGTCCCCTCCCCCGTGTCTTGTATATGGCGAATCAGATATTTACTGTAAAAATCATAATAATAATAATAATAATAACAGATAATAATACTATTAATAATAATAATAATAATTTTAATAAATAATATTATTGCTACTACTATTAATAATAATAATAATAAGAAGAAGAAGACGAAGAAGAAGAATGATGATGATAAAAATGATAAATTGAAATACCCATGAAAAGTTCACTTCTTCCATATTTAATCCAATTACATTCGGATTATTGTCCTGTTAGTTTCTTTAGAACTTGTTTAAAAGCGGAGAGATTCAGGTTTTAAAAATGCTTATATTAAATTACTTGGCGCTATATCGCCATATGTCAGAAAAGAGGTAACATTACTACTTATACTATTAATATAAATAATAATAATAATGCTACTGCTACCATTAATAATATTACCACTACTACTACTCAAATAATAATAATAATATTATTAATAATAATAATAATAGCTAGAACCTTCCCTGCCTCCCATCAGAATGGCTGATGCCCAACTTCACGAGAGCACCTCCTATGCCTGCTTGGTCTCACGCTCTCCGCTGATATGCGGTGGAACACATAGACACAATAGCTTCATCCACCGCAAGGAAAGTTGGCTCTCTGGGTCGTGCCAGAAAGATTTTCTCGGCTGAGTCCATCCTTTAAATCTATAAATGAACCATCCGTCCTTGGATGGAATATTGCTGTCATATATGGTCCTCAACAAATTCCAGATACGGTTATGCAAAGTGATAGCTCCTGATCTGGTATCTAGTCTACAGTCGCTTTCTAACAGACGTGCCGTGGCTTCCCTCTGTCTCTTCAGACTGCATGAATTTAAGCGAGCTACCAAGGCTGGCATCTCGGTCCCACCTTTTCATTGTCGAAACGGTTAAATGAAACCGTCTGTTCTTCTCAAACAGCTTCTTTTCTCGCACTTCCTGCCTGTGGAATTCTCTTCTTCTTGTTTACTTCCCTGATAACTATAATCTTCAAATATTCATGTGTAATGTCAATCGACATTTTCTGATACCTTAATTTTGTTCACCATCCTTCTCTTTATCCTCTCCTCAAACAAACCTCTTTACTCTTGTTCTCTACCCTCTGTAACCCCTTGCGTGCTAGTGGCACTCCCGCCTTGCTTGGGGTGAAATACTTTTTAAAAAAAGTACCCATGAAAATTTCAGTTTTCCTTATTTACACCATTTATTCGGACTCTGAGTTTAACTCCTGGTCCGTGTAAGGTTTACTTAGACTCAGTCCGAATATAAATATAAGTAAATAATGATAATTCCTCATTCCCGAAATCCAAGCAGAAATTAACCTTCCTTATTTGAATTTCCTGAGGAATCATAATTGCTAAGTTTATGGTTGAATAAACTCTTTATGAGTTCTACGACTACAAACTACTTGTGGAAATTTTCCAACTGCACCATTAAATATTTCAGCTTAACAAGTAGAACTGTCTTCCACACGGATGTTTCCCCGATCACTACAGTCTTAACCTTTTCCAATCTAGGGTTAACGTTTATCTTCCCCACATATCCCCATCAACAGTACCTCTTTCCCTGTAATACCCTACTTCAGAAGTCTCTAGGTTCTTTTACAGGGTGAAAGTTATTGTAAAAACATTGTAATAACAAGCAAAAAGTATAAATGCAGATCTTTCTTTAAATAAGAGTGTACAAATTAAAATATTCAAAATTGACAAAAATTTCCACTTCAATGAAGCGGATGTTAAACACAGGAGAGCTCTACTGCCTATCTATATTCAATATCTCCCTTTCTTTCCTTCTTTCTTATTCACACTGGAACCAAACAACATCTCTGATAAGTCTTTTCCGTTTTTTACTCGAGATTAAAACTGAATAGTTAATTATTTATTGACAAGGAATAAGATACGTACCAAATAACTAAGGAAGAATACATATAATAATATTAAAATTAAAATAATAATAATAAAGTTGGCTCCCTGTGCCGCGCCAGGAAATTTTTCTCCCCGGAATCGATCCTTCAGATGTACAAATCAACAATTCGCCTCTGCATGGAGTATTGCTGCCATATATGGTCTGGAGCCCCTTCTGTTTGCCTCGGGGATCTTGATAAGCTCCAGAGGCGGATATGCAATATAATTGGCCCTGTTCTGGCATCTGGTCTACAGTCACTTTCTCACAGACGCACCGTCGCCTCTCTCTCTCTCTGTCTTTTTTACAAATACTTTCATGGCAACTGCTCCGAGATGCTGCTTTCGCTGGTTCCCAGACTCCATGAATTCAAGCGCCCTACGAGGCTGGCATCCCGCTCTCACCCTTTCACTGTCGAAACTGTTAAATGTAGTCGTCTCTTCTAATCCAATAGTTTCATATCTCGCACCTCCCGCCTGTGGAACTCCCTTCCCTATTCCAGTTTCCCTGAGAGCTATAATCTCCAACTATTCAAATGCAATGTCAATCGACATCTCCAGTTGCCTTAATCTATCCACTATCCTTCTCCTCATCCTTTCCTCTATAACTCCTATCTGATCTTGCTCCAAATCTTCTGTAAACCCTTGCGTCCTAGTGGCTTCCCGCCTTGCTTGGGGTGAAACGCTTAGAAATAATAATAATAATAATAATAATAATATATTCTTAATAATGCAGATTGTAATGTATCTTAAAAATCAAAATATATTAAATGAAAATATTCTGAGGACAGCAATAAAATTTTGTAATGGAGCATGGGTTGGACTCATTGAACCTTTAAAGAAATACAAAAATTATATTCAATGTTCACATCTTACGAAGAACTTTATCTATGTAAAATTTTTTAACAGTTGTCTTTTTTGTTTTGTTTTTTTTTTTTTTTTAGGGGGTTACAAAAATGAAAAAAATGTAATACCAGGTCTCTGTTTAGGACCCGGAGGGTATACAACAGAAAGCAATAAATAATCTAATAATAATTTAATAAAATCAAAATCAATGTACCAAAATGCAAACACGGATAAGCGTCATATGGGCAATATTATACCCCGTACCAAACAAGTGGACATCAGGTTTGAACGGATGCTTTACCAAAACTGAAATTTCTGTTAACCCAAAAAATTATAAATTCAGAAAAATTGGCCATCCTGTACGGGTTCACAGTTTTATTACTGAAAGAAACTTTATCTACGGTAATATATGCATTTTTGCGGGAAGGAAATTGAACATTAGCGACACCAAATTGGAAGGGTTGTGACATTTTTTTTTTTTTTTTTGATAAAATATTTTTTTTTATTTGAAGATCTTTCAAAAATACAAGGTGGAAAATTTTTTGGAAATATTTTTTTAAGGCATGGAAAAGGTTGCAGTGGATCCCGGGTAACCCATGCCAATATTTGTCTATTGGGACCTTTTCCAGTCTTTATCTATGTAAAACGTGTTCAGTGTTAGTTTTTATTGTTTTTTGTTTTGGTTTTTTTTTTTGTTTTTTTTTTTTGTTTGTATCTTTTTTTTAAATACTCAGTGGAAAAAGTCATGAGAACATTTCTGACCTTAGGTCTCTAGTTGAGACTCGGAAAGAAATGAGTATTGAAACTCATAATATTAGGTTTTATGACAATGACATAAATTTTGTGACCCATTTAGATTATATTTTTAATTCTGGAATTTTCTTAGGTCGGATCATTTGTTTCGCCCAAATCCCTTCTCGCTTGATGCCTGCTCTTTAACCAGATCATTTCATTTACAGTTGCCTCAAATGATTTCTAATAACCTTGTAGAAAAACAAACCCATTTCACCTACAACACAATATACTCATTTACAGGTGCCCACAAATACACCTACTCACATATAAACAATCAACGTGATGTAATGATTAGCGAACTTGTCCTACTAGAACAATTACGACTTAGTAGTGAGTTCGATCCTCATTGAGCGCTCTATAGTTTCAGCCTTGTGTCACATCTAAGCTACGCTTATAAAATAACCATATACGCAAGCATGCACACATTCAATATCAATATCACGCCGGAAAGCTTCATATTTTCTTTGACAAGCACCAATATTAGCTAGAAACGGCTTTCATAGAATAGAAACTTATCCATGAAACATCGTGTGTCGGAATGCTATGTCAATATAGAAGCAGGCATGTAAGCATAATTATTATCTACAACAGAGAATAGACTAAGTTGATTTAGGCGCCAATAATTCTTGGTTGAAAAGTAGGATTCAGTTTCGAACGCCAATTCTCTTGGATTGCGTGCCGCTCTCTTAAGACAAAGACGCAATAATGGCAGCATTGTCTATATTACTAAGTGTTGGAATCTACTTTTCGCTTCTTTCTAAATACTATTTTAACGGCTCATCAGTAGAGACGGAATTATTAAATCATAAATAATGCTGTTCAATTGTGTTGTGGCGATGTTAAGTCCAGGAATAGAGACAGAGAAATTGAGTTAAACAAATGTATTAACAGAAACAGTAATACAAACATATACAAACGAGAGTGTTACAGCAAGAATGTTCGGACCGACTGTCAGAGCTGACTGCTGGAAACTTCCCTCTCTCCAAAAGGCAGTACCTGCTCCTATTTATATCTGGAAGAGTTCATGTGTGCGTGCGTAAATTACCATAACAAATCGGAGATTAACCCAGAGTTTCGTTATTTAACTCAAGCGAGACTCGTACATACGACCCATCACTAAAAAGCCAGCAAAAGAGGTCGGTTCTCTGTAGCGCTCCTGTAAGTACCTGACACTTTGTGCTAGCTTCTAAATATACAACTGCCAGATCAGGTGGAGTACTGTTGACATATATGAGGAGGATCTATCCTGCCTTCACTTTCCAGTCTCGAGCAAAAGCTTCTCCGCGCTCTTGTGGGTGACAAATTATTTTCCATCCGACAATCCCTTTCTCACAGATGAAACGTTATT